GAGTTGGAGGTTGCTGTGAGCTGTAATGCCATGGCACTCTACCCAGGGGGATAGCTTGAGGCTCCGTCTCAAAAAAAAAAAAAAAAAAAAAAAGAACTAACAAAGATAAATACATTCAGGAAAGAAATCAGACGATTGCTGCATCGAAATATTAAGCAATAATAATAATAATGATGCAAAGAAAGTTAACAATCACTTTGTCAAATAAGAGTATGTCTGAGGTATGGAGTCATCAGTTAACTTCTTTTTTCCCCAAAGTCTCAAAAAATAGACAACTAATATTTATAAATAAAAGATAATTTCAAAAAAACAGATGATTCCAAATCTTATAGACAACAGAAAAAGAATACTTCAAAATCATTCTACTTAATCTGGATACACCTGATATTAAAATTGAAAAAGATATATTATTGCAAAGGAGAAATTACAAACATTTCACTTATAAATGAGGATGCAATATCCTAAACAACATATTAACAAGTTGAATTAAAAATTAATGTTTAAGTAATGTACTTTGGTCAAAATTAAATCCAATTTATGTGAGTTAGTCACTGTTTTTTTTTCTTCTTTTCTTTTCCCTTACCCGCCCTCCTGCCTTCTCTGTCTGGTCGCCTCTTCCCCCATGCCCCATCATGTCATTAATTGTCCTCATATCAAAGTTGAATACATAGAATTCATAATTCTCCATTCTTGTGATGCTTCACTAAGAATAATGCATTCCACCTCCATCCAGGTTAGTACAAATGCTGCAAAATCTCCACTTTTTTAATAGCTGAATAGTATTCCATGGTATACATATACCACAGCTTACCAATCCATTCCTGTATTGAAGGACATTTAGGCTGTTTTCACATTTTAGCGACTGTAAATTGGGCTGTGATAAACAGCCTAGTACAAGTGTCTTTGTAATAAAAAGGTTTTTTTCCTTCTGGATAGATGCCCAGTAATGGGATTGCAGGAGTCACTGCTATTTTTTGATTTCTGTTCCTGAGAAAGCAGAGGTTTACTATTCTTACCCTTAAACTCAGCTCTCTCTCAGTTCTACTCTTATTTATACTTGTTTATGAGCTCTGGGAAGAAAGGGAAGAAAGTCTCTTGGAAATTTTTAAATGTTTAATATTTATCTTGTAAATGACCCGTCATTTCACTGGTATAATCTAGGGTAAAAAAAGAGAAATATTTGCAAATTTAAGTTAAAACGCAGTCCTGTCATTTAACAATGTAATAACCCTGGGCATGTCATATACCCCTCTGAGTGTCTTTCTGCCCCATGTGAAATGAGGTGGATGGAGCAGACTGGTGGTTCTCGTCTGTGGAACTCAGGGATACCTGAATCAAACTGTCCAAAGATGGGGGTTTCAGGTTTGTCTTTCCCAGAGGCCTGATTTCTATTCTCATAGGCCATGAGAACCATAGGGAATCTCTATCGTTCCTCTGCCTCTCCCAGTCTATGATTCTGTGACTCAAAATCCAAATATTCCAAAAGGAATCTCAGCACAAAACTGTAAGTTAAAACATCTACTTTTATGTGTGAAATATACAGTCATTTTTAGTAACAAAGCTAGAAATATTACCAGGAACAAGTTCTATAATAATTTACCAGAGAAAAACAAACTTGTTCTGTAGGTTCATCTAAATTCATAGGATTTCTTATTCTGTTCCTTCGATTGTCTGTGTGTCCCTAATCTTGGCTCAAATACAAGGAATAATTTCAAGGTTACAAGTTATTGCTGATTTATTTATACTGTAATTACTAGACTACTTAAATGAATTAACCTTCTGACTTACACAGCCATAATTTACCATGATTCTCCCAGGATTAATAAGCTACAAGGTTCTACAGTAACATTAATACATTAAGAAGGCCAGGTATGATGGCTCATGCCTGTAATCTCAGCACTTTGGGAGGCTGAGGTGGGTGGCGGATCGCCTGACCTCACAAGTTCGAGACCAGCCTAAGAAAGAGCAAGACCTCATCTCTAAAAATAGCCAGGTGTTGTGGTGGGCACCTGTAGACCCAGCTATTCAGGGGGCTGAGGCAAGAGAATTGCTTAAGCCCATGAATTTGAGGTTGCTATGAGCTATGATGCCACAGCACTCTACTAGGGGTGACAAAGTGAGACCCTGTCTCAAAAAAAAAAAAAATACAGGAAGAAATATAAATGCCAATTTATACAACAATCCTAATGAACAACGAAGAAATGTCCTATATGTTTACTTACCTGCATCATTTAGCCACTTCTCCAAAAGTGGCTTTAACTTGCACATGTTCTTAAAGCTGAGGTTCAAGGCTTCAAAGCGAGAGATGGTAGTTTGGCTGAAGTCATTTCCATATAGTTTCCCCATGGCAAGCCCAACATCACCCTGCACAACACAGAGCAGGTGCGGAGAGAGGAAAGCAGAAAGAGAAAAAGTCATCTCATAATGTTTACAGCTTTCACTCTGGACCGTTGCTCTGATGACTGCTCTAGACAAAGAATTAACAATCATTCCACTTTCTAGGACCCACACAAACTCTACCCTTAAGCCACGCACAGTATTCTGGTGAGGAGTCTCCTAGGCCTTCATCAATACAATGTTCCACATTGTCCCACATACTTTCCATTTTGAATCTCTTCTTGCTACCTTATGTAAGAATCAAGATGCCAGAATTTCTAATAAGTCACAAAAGACAGCGCTGATATTCTAATATAACCAAAAATGATTTAAGTAATCTTTAAAAATCAATTTATCCATATCACCTACAGCAATTAGATATAACTGCCTAGATAAGACTAGGTTTTTCTGAACTAACCAAACTTCCCATAAATCACTTGAAAATTTAGAAATGATCTCTCATTCTTTTTTCCCTTATAAAGTATTTCTGAGACTGAGAAAAAAAAAGTATTTTCACCCTTAGTTTGGATTTCAAAGTTGGTTACAAAAAACAGGTATTCTAAAGACCACTTTTGTAACCATTATAGAGCTAGAAATTCACAGTAGAGAGGTTTGACCCATTTAGTCAAACCTTCATGGGCACTGGGAACTTGGTAACCTTACAGCAAATAGAACAATGATCCCCTGAATATATTACAAAAGATGTCTTTCTCTATAAGTCTATAACCTTTGAAATGTATACAGTGCTTCTCTTCCAGCTGAATATCTCTTGTTTGAGCTGGAAAAAGCCATATCTTAATAGTTATTTTATATATAGGTAATAGAAGCTCACAGAGTTTAAATGACTTCTTTACTCATTTCAATGAATTTAGTGACAGGGCAGAAAGGCAAAAACACTTCTGGTCCAAAGTATTATACAACTAATTCTTCCTTGAGACAGCCAACTCCCACGTATCCTGGCCACACTTATTTGGAGTTAGGATTACCCCAGTACTTTGATGCCTGCCACTACATTGTTTATTAGCATCTGCATCAGGTGATAGTTGGGGAAAGAAAATAAAAAAAAAACTCTACTATATTTTATTATTAGTGAGTAACTCCAGATAAAAAGTTAAACTGAGGAGAATGTTGAACTATAAGATAAAATGAGAGATAGAGAATACTTGAACTTCAAGTAGTCTATATCCTATGTTTTTGCATAGGATAGTCACCAGCCATGAATGGCTGTTTAAATTTAAGTTAATTAAAATCAAATGAATTAAAAATATGGTTCCTTGGCACCAATAGCCCTTCCAATTCTAAGAACTACAAGTGGATAGTGGCTACTACACCAGACAACACAAATACAAAATATCTCCACTCTCACAGAAAGTTCTAATGACAGCTCTGAATACACTCTAGGACTGAAGTGGACTGTTGATTGATTTCCTTCCAATTACAGTAAAACTGAAAGAACAAGAACAAAATGAAAAAGGAACAAAGACTAGGACTGGGAAATAATTGATGTACCTAAAACTGAAAGAACAAGAGCAAAATGAAAAAGGAACAAAGACTAGGACTGGGAAATAATTGATGTACCTATGTAATAAACGTGTTATACTATGACATGCTAATTATGCAATGTCACCATAGTAATCCTTTAATAAGCAATTATATAATTAGAAATATCTAATAACAGGCACATTTACCCAGAGAATAGAGATTTCAACAAATAACTTAAATGTCTAACTCCATGTGAGTGTGTGCACTTATAAATAAATTGGATACACGGCAAACTTTGAATAACTTTAAGTGAGGTCTCTGACTTAAAAGTAGAGGTTGACTGACTGATTTTCTCATCCTACAGCTGTAGGATGTGCTATAATACATGTAGTCAAAATCTATTAGTAGTCTAATTTTTACTACTGCGACATATTTTGAAAAATGAAAAATGTTCTTATTTTCTGCATGCCAAAAAGTAGAATAAAACCATAAAGCAAAACATCAGGAAGCTCCTTTATAGAGAGGAGTTTAGGGGAAGGAGAGGGAAACGTTAACACTGGCAATATGCTGGGTTGAATGCCACAGAAAGGCAAACCACTGTGTGAGTCAAAGTTAAAAGGTATTTGCAAGTCCCAGCATCGCTGGCATATCACTCAGGCAACAATCTCTCAGGGAGAGCAAGAATCTGCTATGCTTAAATCTCATGCTTATTTCAGCTTAGTAACTTACCCCTCTCAATCTAGTTTTATCTTTAGCTTTCTTTTTAAAATAGGTCAGGTCACTTAAATGCTTCAAAAGTATTAAAATGTTTCTGGATAGTCATTTGTCTCTTTATAACTGAAATGCCTCACAAATGTAAATGCATTTCCATTAAAATTGTATTTCAAAAATCATTTTATGTTAGCAATACATGTACACCATTAGTTTCCTTCAACAAAAATAAATTCTCAAAGAAATGTATTTCTGTTCCTAAAAACACATAGAATACATGCAGGGATATCAGCCCTGGTCTTTGACCCACCAGAGCAGGTGGAATACTCTGCACTTTCAACACAAAATAATTTGAGTAGCACTCAAGTGATATCTTAAGCATTCTAAACATCAGGTTTTTCCTGATTTTATAAAAACACCCAGTCTAATCCAAAACCCTTCATTTTTTTCACCTAATGATCTTACATCATTTTACATGAATTTCATTCAGTTTGATTCCTTACCTGATGGAAAAGTATTATTTGTGACAGGTTAATCAAACAGTAAATGAGTAGTAGTGCTTAGAACAAGAATACTGTGTATCCAGATGCCTGTTTAAACCATTAAAGGTATTCATTCCAATTTAAAAGCCCTCTGTGTTAGCTCACATTTTTAAAATTAATGTGGATTAATTTTAGTTTTTTTTTTTATTGTTGTTGTTGTTGAGGTTTTTGGCCAGGGTGGGGTTTGAACCCACCACCTCTGGTATATAGGGCTGGCGCTCTACTCCTTGAGCCACAGGCACCACCTGATTAATTTTAGTTTTTCATCTGCATGCAATTCTTCTTTGATTAGTTTCAGTACAGGTTTAGAGTATGAGTACCTGCACACATGCATATCTCAATCATCCTTTTCTCTCCCCTCAAACTCAAATAAGCCTTTCACACTTGCCCTCTTTTAGTTACCCTGTAATCTTCACCCTGTCAACCCTACACATGAAACACTAAAGTCTACTGATGCTCTTCACATAACAAATCCCTCAGTGTAGCCACATCACCCCAATGACATCTTTTAAACTCTCACAATTTATTGATAGAATTATGATGTCAGAGACCTGTGTTCTGAGAAAAATCTCAAAGGTTTTAACATTTAACTTATAAATTTATAATTAAATGTATACAATATTCTAAACATATAAATGCAGGAAATGGCTAACCAAAAGGTACAGCTTAAAACTAAATAGCAACATGATTAAGAAACATACTGTTCCTTAGAAGCCTTTCTGGACATACAGAGCAAATATAGTTGTCCCTTGGTACGCATGGGGAAATGGATTGCAGGACCCCTCTTGGATACCAAAATCCACAGACACTCAAGTCTTCAAAATCGTAAAATGGTATATTTATATATTAGCTATGTCACCCACACACTTTACATCATCTCAAGATTACTTACAATACTTTATAGTGTGTGTCTGAGTGCTATGTAAATAGTTGCTAAACTTCATTATAGGGAATAATGACAAGAAAAAAAAGTTTGGGCCAGACATGGTGGCTCACACCTGTAATCCCAGCACTTTTGGAGACCAAGGGGAGTGGATTGCTTTGAGCTCACAGGATTGAAACCAGCCTGAGCAAGAGCGAGACCTCATCTCTAAAAATAGCTGGGCGTTGTGGCAGGTGCCGGTAGTCCCAGCTACCTGGGAGGCTGAGGCAAGATAATCACTTGAGTCTAAGAGTTGGAGGATGCTGTGAGCTATGACGCCACGACACTCTACTGATGGTGACAAAATGAGACTATGTCTCCAAAATAAAAAAAAAAGTTTGTATGTGTGCAGGACTGTCACAGCCATCCACAAGTTTGCCTCTGTCTCCTGAATACTGAATATTTTGGATCATTGGTTGGTTGAACCCACAGATGTAGAAATCAGGGATATAGAAGGCTGAAGCCAAGGGGTGAAATCTTAAGTAAGGGTGGGTTCCTCCTACCTGAGTAAATCCAAGTTTGATTCGTCTTTGTTTGAAGGTCTTGGCAAACTGCTCAAGCTCCTCAAGGTCACTGGGCTCCTCCAAGCTGGGAGTATCAATTCGCTTTGGTGTTGACTGGCTCTGTGGAAGTGTCTGAATTGGGGTTGCTGCTATTGTGCGTGTTGGGGTTGCTGGCTGTTGAAGAAGGAACAGAGCAATGAGAACAAACATGTAAAGAGATATGTAAGTTGACATCTGGAATATGCTGCAAGTAAACTTAAGGAAACAGTTATATTCATTATGAAGACCATGTAACACTATATAATGTACAGAGATACAGTGAGAGTGAGCTGTGATGTCACAGCACTCTACCGAGGGCGACATAACGAGACTCTGTCTAAAAAAAAAAAGTTCAGTGAGAAAAGGCAGACTCTGAAATTCTGTTTATTATAATTAGAGTTAAGGATAAGCATGTAATTCTATAGGAAAAACCTAAATACACAAAAATGAAATCTTTTATATCTGGGTTTTCAAATGAATAGATGTATCTTATGCTTTTAAATATACCTTTATTTTAAAACAATTTGTTTCTTAAATCTGTCACTTAAACTGTCAAAACAGTAACAACCATATCTGTCTCATTTATCACTATCACTTCTCCATTAGATACTATTATAAAAATAGTATTAGAAGATTATCAAAACTTTTTTTTTTTCATCTGTATGAGGAATTCATTGGTAGCACTGTTTTGGCAAAGTTTTAGGAAAGTATGATGCAAATCTTAATTTTTTAAACTGGTATTTTATTGGCTTGTTATATGTCTAATTTTGTAAATTCAGTTTTATGAATCTTGCATGAATTCTGTTGTTTTTTCCTAATCTCATACTGGCATCCTATTGAGGAAAACTTTTAAAAAGTAGAAAACCATAGTATAAGTGACAGATTCTAATTTTTAGCCACTGCTTGTTTAGAAAGACATTTTGTATGTTTGGACTGTAGAAATATTGTAACATGGTCCAGCTGGATTCTGGGATAGATTACTGGAAAAGGGAACCTCCTACTGCAGGAAAACTCTACTATCTATAAGTTATTGTTTGCTTTTATTTTAATTTTTAAAGATCTAGTAATCAGGAAAAGAGAATAAGTGGTTTAATTATTAGAATGTAAAAGGCCAGTTCTAAAGACTGCAGCGTTTTTTTTTTTTTTTTTTAAGACAGGGTCTCACTATGTCACCCTCCGTAGAGTGCCATGTCATCACAGCTCACAGCAACCTCAAATTCTTGGGCTTAAGTGATTCTCTTGCCTCAGCCTCCCAAGTAGCTGGGACTATAGGCACCCGCCACAACGCCCAGCTATTCACAACGCCCAGCTATTTTTCGATTGCAACTGTCATTGTTGTTTAGCAGGCCCAGGCTGCTAAACAGATCTCCAAAACAGACCAATTTCAAGCACTGAGATCAAAGAAACAATAAAAACATTTCCCAACAAAAAAAATGCCTTGGTCTGGATGGCTTCACACCAGAATTCTATCTAACCTTTAAAGATGAGCTTATTCCCATATTGCAGAAATTATTCCAAAAAGTTGAGGAGGAAGGAATCTTCCTCAACACATTCTACAAAGCAAACATCACCCTCATACCAAAACCAGGAAAAGACCCAACAAAAAGGAAAACTTCAGACCAATTTCACTAATAAATATGGATGCAAAAATTCTCAACAAATTCCTAGCTTATCATCAAAAAGTCATATATCATGATCAAGTAGGTTTCATCACTGGGATTCAAGGCTGGTTTAACATACGCAAGTCCATAAACATTATTCACCATATCAATAGAAGCAAAAACAAAGACCATACGATACTCTCAATAGATGCAGAAAAAGCATCTGATAAAATCCACCATCTTTTTCCAATTAGAACACTGAAGAGTATAGGCATTGGTGGCACATTTCTTAAACTGATTGAAGTTATCTATGATAAACCCACAGCTAACATTTTATTGAATGGAGTAAAACTGAGAGCTTTTCCACTTAGAACTGGAACCAGACAAGGTTGTCCTCTGTCACCACTACTATTATTCAACATAGTGCTGGAAGTTCTAGCCAATATAATTAAGAAAGAGAAGGAAATAAAGGGCATCCAAATGGGAGCAGAGGAGGTCAAACTCTCTCTCCCTCTTTGCTGATGATATGATCTTATACTTAAAGAACCCTAAAGACTCAACCACAAGACTCCTGGAAGTCATCAAAAGATACAGTAATGTCTCAGGATATAAAATCAATGTCCAGAATTCAGTAGCTTTTGTATACGCCCAAAACAGCCAAGACGAGAGGCCAATTAAGGACACGACTCCCTTCACCATAGCTTCAAAGAAAATACCTAGGAATATACCTAACAAAAGAGGAGAAGGACCTCTATAAAGAAAATTATGAAACTCTAAGAAAGGAAATAGCAGAGGATATTAAGAAATGGAAGAACATACCATGTTCATGGCTGGGAAGAATCAACACTGTTAAAATGTTTATACTTTCCAAAGCAATCTACCAATTCAAAGCCATCCCTATTAAAATACCAACATCGTACTTTCCAGACTTGGAAAAAAATAATTCTGCGTTTTCTATGGAACCAGAAAAAAAAAAAACAAACCCATATAGCTAAGGCAGTTCTTAGTAATAAAAACAAAGCCAGGAGCATCGGCATACCAGATTTTAGGCTGTACTACAAAGTCATAGTGGTCAAGACAGCATGGTACTGGCACAAACATAGACATAGACATTTGGAATCGAATAGAAAACCAGGAAATGAAACTAACATCTTACAACCAACTAATCTTCAATAAACCAAACAAGAACATACACTGGGGGAAAGACTCCCTATTCAATAAATGGTGCTGGGAGAACTGGACATCCACACGTAAAAGACTGAAAATGGACCCGCACCTTTCTCCACTCACAAAAATAGACTCAAGATGGATAAAGGATTTAAATTTAAGGCATAAAATGATAAAAATCCTCAAAGAAAGCACAGGAAAAACACTGGAAGATATTGGCCTGGGGAAAGACTTTATGAAGAAGACTTTGGTGGCAACTACAACAACAAAAATAAACAAATGGAACTTAACTAAACTGAAAAGCTTCTGTACAGCTAAGAAGACAACAACCAAAGCAAGTAGACAACCTACCCAATGGGAAAGGATATTTGCGTATTTTGAATCAGACAAAAGCTTGATAACTAGGATCTATAGAGAATTCAAATTAATCCACATGAAAAAAGCTAACAATCTCATATATCAATGGGCACGAGACATGAATAGAACCTTCTTTAAAGAAGACAGATGAATGTAGCAAACATGAAAAAACTGATCATCATCTCTTATTAGAGAAATGCAAATCAAAACCACCTGAGATATCACCTAACCCCAGTGAGAATGTTTCACAACATAAAATCTCAAAACTGCAGATGCTGGTGTGGATGTGGAGAGAAAGAACACTTTTATATTGCTGGTGGGACTGCACACTAATACAACATTTTTGGAAGGAAGTATGAGAACCCTCATAGAACTCAAGCTAGATCTCCCCTTTGATCCTGCAATCCCATTACTGGGTATCTACCCAGAAGGAAAAAAAACCTTTTATCATAAAGACACTTGCACTAGATTGTTTATCGCAGCCCAATTTACAATTGCCAAAATGTGGAAACAGTCTAAATGCCCACCAACCAAGGAATGAATTAACAAACTGTGGTATATGTATACCATGGAATACTATTCAGCCATTAAAAAAGACGAAGACTTTACATCCTTTGTATTAATCTGGATGGAAGTGGAACACATTATTCTTAGTAAAGCATCACAAGAATGGAGAAGCATGAATCCTATGTATTTAATTTTGATATGAGGACAATTAATGACCTAGTACACAGTGGGGGATGGGGTAAGGGGAGAGCAGAGACAGAGAAAAGGAGGGAGGGGGTGGGGAAAGGAAGAGCAGAGAGATTATTAAAACCATTTTAAGGAGAAAAAGTAAATCACTTGTTTAAATAACTTACAACAGGTTTCATTTTCACACATTTGTTCAAGTTTTTTCCCCATAATCTACATTTTTAAGCCCTAACTATAATTATGATATATATAATCTTATACTCTGCATTTCTCATTTAACATTGTTTTAACTTTTTTCTATAGTATTTAAGTCTTCATAATTATATTTTTTTAAAATGTGACTGAAACAATATTATAATTTATTTAACCAGTTCTCAATTGCTGGACATTTTTATTTATGATTTCACTAACAGATAATACCACAATGAAAAACATGTTATACATATTAGTTATCTTTTTCTACCTATATGTAATCAGTTCTTTGGGATAAATCCATAACTGATTTTCTAGTAACTAGATAAACAATTTCATAGCCCCCTCCCCCTCTTTTTGAGACACGGTTTTGTTATATTGCCCAGGCTAGAGTGTAAGAGCATCATCATAGCTCACAGCAACCTGAAACTCCTGGGCTCAAGTGATCTTCCTGCCTCAGCCTCCCAAGTGGCTGAGACTACAGGCATATGCTACCACATCTGGCTAATTTAAAAAAAAAAATTGTGATGGGTCTCAGTATGTTGCCTAAGCTGGTCTTAAACTGGCCTCAAGTGATCCTCCTTCCTTGGACTTCCAAAGTGCGGAGATTACAGGTGTGAACCACAGCACCCAGCCAATGATTTCATGGCTTTGATGTACATCACAATGTCGGTGCCCACTATACAATGCTAGTTTCCTCCATGTGATTTGCCTTAGCAGTTTTAAAAAATGTTTTGCAAATTCAAAGTAAATGACACTTCACTGATATCTTAATTTGTATTTCTTTTACTACTCAAAGTCAAAATTTTCCCATATGTCAATTATTATCTGTATGTCCTTGGATGTGAATTGGATTTATGTTCTTAACCCATTTATATTAATGATATCCTTATTCTCATCCTTATCCTTAAAGAGATCATCAAATGTTATGATGAATCTTTTTGTCAATGCAAATAATTTTTCCAATCTGCTTTTTCTCTTTTAATTTTCAGTATACACAAGCTTTAAATTATCATTTGGGTGAGTATCTTATTTTCTTTTCCAATATAATCTGTTGCTTCAAATCTGAAAAAGTTTCATTTATCTCTAACTATGATAACACTCCTTTTCATCTTCTAGTTTATTCAATGTATTTTTTAAACATTTAACTATTTAAATCCATCTAAATTTTACTTGGGGGCCTGAGGGGATAGTCTCTTTTTTAAAAGAAAATATTAAATTTTCTTATTATGCAAGGCTATTCTGCTCTCCTTACAGGCCTTGACTAGAGAACATACCTCTGTTATTCACTAGTGGGAGGTACCACCTTGACTGCATTTAAGTGCTCAATTGATCCCTCTTGTGAATAGAAGCCCAGATGAGCATTTGCAGACCCAGATACAGAACGTCTTGGCTGAGCACAGTGGCTTACACCTTTAATCCCAGCACTTTAGGAGACCCAGGCAGGAGGATCACTTGAAGCCAAGAGCCTAGGCAACAGAGAGAGACCATACCTCATAATAAACAAAAAAAAATTAGCCAAGTGTGGTGGCATGCCCCTGTAGTCCTAGCTACTCTGGAGGTTGAGGCAGAGGATCATGTGAGCCCAAGTTGCAGTAAGCTAGGATTGTGCCACTCCAGGCTGGGCAACACAGCAAGACACTATTTCTAAACAAAATGTTTTGTTTTTAATATAAATCTTTTATCAGCTATATGTCTTAAAAATATTTTCTCCCATCTGTGGTTTTTCATTTTCTTAAGAGAAGCTTTTAATTTTTATGAAATTAAATTTACCAATTTTTTCTTTTATGTTTTTTGTGTCCTATTTAAGAAATCATTGCCTCACCCAGTGACACAAAGATATTTCCCTATGTTTTCTTCTAAAGTTTAGGTCTATGATCTATTTCAAATTAATCATTGAATATAGAATGAAATAATGGTCAAGGTTCTTTTTTTTTTTTTTACCTATAGATAGCCAATTGTTTCAGCTATCTAAACAGTTGAAAGATTTTCCTTTTCCTACTGAAATATTTTAGAACCATGGCCATACATGTGTGGGTCTATTGGACTTTCTATTATGTTCCACTGATCTCTGCTTCTACCCTTTTGCCGGTATCACCCTGCCTTCATTACTGCAGCTTTATAGTAATTCTTGACATCAGCTAGTCCTTCAACATTCTTACTTGTCAAAATTGTTTGATTATTCTATGTCCTTTACAGCTCTACATCTATGTTAGAAACAGGATGAAAATTTCTACAAAAAAGCCTGCTTGGGTTTCAACTGGCATGATGTTGAATCCAGAGATTAATTTGAGAAAAACTGACATTTTAACAACTCTAGTCCTCTGATTCATGAACACACTACACCTCCCTTTTGTATAGGTCTTTTCTATTTCACTTATCAGTACTATAAATAGTGTTCAATGTATAGGTCTTAAGTTATTTTGTTAAAGCTTACCCATAAGTACTGTAAATACTTTTTTAAAAATAATTTTTATTTTTTTTATTTTTTGTTGTTGCTGTTTGGCCAGGGCTGGGTTTGAACTCACCACCCTTGGTATATGGGGCTAACACTCTACTCACTGAGCCATAGGCACCACCCTGTAAATACTTTTTTTCTTAATTTCAATTTCCAAATGATCATTGCTAACATATAGAACTATAAATGATTTTCGTATATTGATTTTGTGTCCTACATACATGCTAAACTTATTTATTCCAGCAGTTTTTTGGGGTAGATTCCTTAGGATTTTCTTTTCTTTTCTTTTCTTTTTTCTTTGAGACAGGAGCCTCAAGCTGTCCCCCTGGGTAGAGTGCTGTGGCATTTCAGCTCACAGCAACCTCCAACTCCTGGGCTCAAGCGAGTCTCCTGCCTCAGCCTCCCAAGTAGCAGGGACCACAGGTGCCCGCCACAATGCCTGGCTATTTTTTGGTTGCAGCCATCATTGTTGTTTGGCGGCCCGGGCTGGATTCGAACCCGCCACCTTGAGTGTATGTGGCTGGCGCCTTAGCCACTTGAGCCACAGGTGCCGAGCCAGGATTTTCTATATAGACAATTATGTTGTCTATCAATTAAGATAGTCTTCCTTTCTAATCTATATGTAACCTTTAATTCTTTTTCTGGACTACTAGCATCTTGTGTATAATACTGGATACATGTGGGAACTATTTTGCATTACTTCTGATCTTAGGGAAAAACTATTCAGTCTTTCATTTTAAGGATGATGATAGAATTTTTTGGTAGATATTTTTTACTAGGTTAAAAAGATCACCCTCCATATCTCCCTGACAAGGGTTCTTATCATAAGTGAATGCTGAATTCTGTCAAATCTGGCAATATGTTAATATTAAGTGATAATTTCTACAGTGCAGACAAAGTCAGAGCTGGAAGGGGATTCAAGATTAGTCAGTTCAGTCACCTAATGTAGAGATGACAAGATTAAGGACCAGAGAGGAAAAAAGGCTCAAAATCATGGCAAGAAGTGAAGCAGAACAAGGTCCATAACTTAAACCAACTTAAACCTCTAGATGCCTAACACTTGTGCTTTTCGTACGATTATAGTGTTTATACAGTCTAGTATAATGAGCTAACACAACATATAAATATTAAGAGAGAAGAAAATATAGAGATGAGAGCTTTATTGCTGTTTCTGAGAAAGGCCAAAGGGTAATGATAGGCTTTTAACTGAGGTACTAGGTTTCCTATTCAAGTGGTAAGATCTACTGCCAGCTACGGTGGGGGGACGTGTCACAGAACCCCAACTCATTACTCATTTACTGCTAACACAGGTATAAGAGAAAAGGGACTCTGATAATTTTCCAAGATTATATCAATTTGGCAGCACTGCTTTATCAAATTGATAAGTTCAGCTTTGAATTTTTGGTTAGTTTTGAAGACTGTTTGAATTATTTTTATTAGGTTCTTCTAGGCTTTTTAGATCAAATAAAGTCCGAAAAATTCCTAAAACAAGAGGATAAGAGAACTTTCCATGGAAGAAAACTGACCTGGGAGGTGAGGGTGATGCTTGGCTGCGACTGCAGGAGGTTGGCTTGGCTTTGCTGAGGTAGTTGTGTTAAAAGATTTTGCGCTTGCAGGAGACCTGTAAAATACAAGCACATTGTGCCAGAAACATTAAAGACTGTTTTGAACACACAGCAAGAAAGAGTAAGAACATGATCGAAAATTTCCAACTGATCTCCTGATCACCTTAGTGTTCTTATAATTCTTATTCTGTCTAAAATTCTATTTTGTTAAAAACAATTTCGGCAAGAAGGTATGGAACATTAAATTAAAAGTGGGAAGTTTTTAGTGTAATGTAAGTTCTCTGATAGGCCAATTCTTTATTTTAGTAAGGAGTGGATGAAAATGAATGATTATTCTAAATGGAAGCAGCTGGAAATTCCAAAAAGCTCAACTTCTTAACCTAGAATCTGTTAAAAACTGCCATTCTATGCTGGACCAGAGACTTGTCCAGTCCAATGAAAGGAGCAAGCAATCCTTTAAGGGGAAAAAGAAAATGTTGTATTCAAGTTCTCCTTATCAAACATTTGGCTTTGGTGATAATAAAATTGAAATGTAAAATACTCTATCTGTATTAACACTGAACAATCTTAGTCGAAAAATAATTGGTAAGTAATGTCAGCAATGTTTCATGCTGACAGTGACCCTCTAAGTAGAAAGGTGAACCCTTGATGTGTTTGTAGTAAATGCTCAATTACTGAAGTCTATGGCTTTTTATTTTCAGAACCTTATACAAAGAGGACCAACCCATAATGTCTGTACTTAAGAATTTAATCTATAGTACCGAGTTTCTAATATAATGCTGTTACTAAAATACTGAATATAGGATTATGTGTGCTCAGATAAGAGCAATGGGAGAAATTATCCAGCACTGTAGACCAAAAAGGGATTCTACCGCTTTTAAAAATACATTATAAAATTATTTGTAGCAACAGCTATCTTCCTAATTTTGATTTCCTCAAGTTTGGATAAACTGACTATTGGAATATGTACGACAACAGCCAAAAAATCGAAACCTCCCACAGATCAGTCACAGAGTCTGTCATTTATATTTATAATGAAGTACTGTCTGAATTTAGCTATTAAAATAGTTTTATTTTATAATGTAAAACACAATAAGTATAAAAAGTAGATTTGGATTTTTCTAGAAATCTCTCACTTTCTAGAGCTCTAGGGCAAGTGAAATACATATTTGTAGCAAATATTAAACAAAATAAACTTCTGTATATATTACAAATGTTTCTTAAAAGGCAGACTGAAAGAAGTTTAAATGACCATCCTGCTTCCCCAAGTGTCTCTCAGAGTCGTCAGAGTGACCTAACCACTGCACAGATTTTATTCTAAATGTAATGGAAGGCCCTGAGAGCGTTTGTGGGTAATCTGGCCTGGTCTAGCTCACTCACTGCACTCGAGCTACACTGGCCTTTCTTTTTCTGATTAGGCCAAACTTGTCCTGTCTCAGGTACTTTGCATTCCTTTGTCCACCAAGACTCTCCACCCAGATCCTAGGTGTGGCAACCTCCCAGTCAGCATTCAGTTCCCAATTCAAATATTCCTCCTCCAGAGACGCTTTTCCAGACCATAAGCCCATTTTTCCCCACAGGTTAACCATTACCAAATTACTCTTGTCTGCTGTCTGCCTAGTACTTATTTATTGCTGTGTTAACTATTTTGTTTATTTAGTTACCATATGACTTCTAATGAGATCAAGGACTCCTTTGATCTTATTCAAAATTACATCCCCAACACTTAGAACACTGTATGACACTTAAAAAGCACTCAACAAATTGTTGAGTAAATTAGCTGAAATATTACATTTTAGTGATTTGAAAAAACTGAAGAGTAGTCTAGAGAGAAAAATAAAACTATATTTTTTGTCATTGATTAAAACTAATCTATTAAATTATTTTGAAAAGACTGAAGACTCAAGAATATTCAAAAATAAAAATAAAAAAGGAAAGAGAAGAAAGTACAAAGGACAGAAATAAGGTCCCATTATTAAGCCTATTTCAACATGAGTTGTTTTTTTTTTTCTTTTTTGAGAGAGTTGCACTTTGTAGTTGTCAGTAGAGTGCTGTGACATCACAGCCCACAGAACCTCAAACTGGTGGGCTTAAGTGATTCTCTTCCCTCAGTCCCAAGGAGCTGGGACTACAGGCACCAGCCACAATACCCAGCTATTTTTTTTAGAGACAAGGTCTCCCTCCCTCTGGATCAGGCTGGTTTCGAACTTGTGAGCTCAGGCAATCCACCCACCTCAGCCTCCCAGAGTGCTAGGATTACAGAGTGAGCCACCATACCCGGCCCAACTTGAGTTTTTTAAAGTTTAACAATGAAAGTTAGTTGTTATTAATCTGTAAATGACAAAAACAGATATTTTTAAAATGTTTCCCATCCAATCATAAATTATAATTCCAAATGATCAATTTTAGTTTCCAGTAGCATATTTTATAAACAAATTCTTTTTTTTTTTTTTAGTAGAGATAGGGTTTGACTCTTGCTCAGGCTGATCCTGAACTTTTGAGTTCAAGCAATACACCTGCCTCAGCCTCCCAGTGTGCTAGGATTCCAGGCATGAGCCACTGTGCCTAGCTAAGAGGTTTTTTATTTTCTTTTCTTTAAACTAGATAAAGGGACAAACTAATTTTATTCTCTGAGCTATTGCATCTACCATTTCTTGACTGATGATCACACTGATCACGATAATGTCGTAATGGTAATAGAAAAAATTTAGAGAGGTTACTATGTAAGCGTCACCTTTTGTATGTATTTACTTAATGAATCGTTAAAACTCTTGAGGAAAATACTAAAGGTCTCCTCATAGGAAAATAAGGCACAGAAAGGTGATTTTTCCAAGGACACACAACACAAAGTGGCAGAGCCAAAACTCTGAGAGAAGTAGTTTGCTCTTAATTACTACATTAAGATGAATGATCTTCCTGACATTAGTAAAACATTTTATGTAAATCACTGATATAAGTGAAGGGGAAGATGAGAAGAGAAATATATGAAACTCAGAAAGGTTAGGGGAATTGTCCAAGGTCATTGGCTGTAAAGTCAATCAGTATTATACACTATGTGCTATGTTCTCAATTTTATATTGATAAAAGTCTGTGGGGTTGAGAGGGGTTACGAACATACAAATACCTTTGCGAAAATTAAAAGATTAGAATGAACAGTTATTTGGTATTCCAGTTATCTTATTTTGGGCTTTACTTTTATAAATAAAACAAGGTCACAGACTTGAAAAAGGAAAGACAATACCCTTGGCTCTGGGCTCTGATACAAATAAATGAAGGCAATCTCATTCATTCCTAAAGCTTTAACAATTACTAAATCTCACATATGCACTTCCGTCTTTCTTGACTTCTTAAGTCTGTCTGATCTAGGTAACTCTCCTTCCCTCTTAGTATTCCCTTCCATTGTGATTACCACTCTCTATTAATCTTTTACACCTGAAATCATTGTCTCTTTTCCTCCTCCTCCTTTTCTTTCTTTCTTTTCTTTCTTTCTTTTTTTTTTGGTGACAGGGTCTTGCTCTGTGACCAGGCTGGGGTGCAATGGTGTGATCATACCTCACTGTAACCTCGAACTTCAGGGCTCAGCCTCTTGAGTAGCGGGGACAACAGCTGTGTGTCACTATGCCCTGCTAATTTTTAAATTGTTTTTAGAGATGGAGTCTTGTTATATTGCCCAGGCTGGTCCCAAACTCCTGTCTTCAAGGAATACTCCTGCCTCAGCCTCCCAAAGTGTTGGGATTACAGACATGAGCCACAGAACCCAGGCTGTAGCTTCATCTGAATCTTATTCCTCTTGTAACTAATGGGCTGTTTTTTCCCCAATTCTTTTAATACCACACACACATGTTCTCTATATGACTCCATCAACCTTCATAGTTTGCTAAAAACCCATGAATTACCTAGATACCTCTTTCCTATCATTAGTCAAATACAACTGGCCACCACGTCCTGTCCATCTATATTCCTACTTACTTATCAAATCATCTTTTCTTTTCTATCCCCACAACCATAGTTCAACCCTTACCAAAACTCAGTAGAATTGTTGCAATATTCTAACTAGTATTACTCTCTTTATTCTTACCTAATTTTTCTTCCCCATATTTTAACATGAGCTTTCTTACAACAAATTTGGAAATTTTTTTTTCTGGTTAAACCTTCTGTGATTTCATATAGCATACAAGAAGATTTATTGGAAGGTACTGGATATCCAATGTGAGATTCTTTACTGATTTGGTCTCTGCTAATCTTTCTCTCATCAAAGTTCATTTCATCCACATATACAATTTAAACTATAGTGTCTAAGGCAGTGGTTCTCAACCTTCTTAATGCTGTAATGTATTTTCATTGCTACAAAGGGGTCATGACCCACAGGTTGAAAACCACTGGTCTAAGGCATTGCTTATGGTTCTCAAACACAACTTAATGATGTTTCTTCCATGTTTCCAAGGTTTTTAAATGCTATTCATTTTCTGTGACTAAAGTTCTCTCTTTTGAAGCTATGCTTGCATTCTCCCAAATTCACTGTGAAGAATTCTCTGCTCACAAAGGTACAAAGGGGTCTCTTAGCTCCCACAGTGTTCTGTGCATATCATGTCTAACCCTTGCAGTTGGTCTATTTCCCTGCCACTACACTGTAAGCTCTCTGAAATTAAAAACTGATTTACTCATCTTTTAATCTTGAACATATGCTAGGTAAGTGTTTACATGACAAAAGATTTTGTAATAAATGATCAAGAAGAAAAAAGGCAAACCCATCACCCCAGAAATAATGAAGAATTAATAGAGATGCACTAATGTTCTTTGTGTCGAAAGTTTGATATCCTGATACTCTATACCGATCACATTAACCAACCTTACAAACATGACTGAATTTCATTATGGTTTGATACTAAAATTATAAAACAATATTTACCACAACAGCCTCAAAGCTATTTTATAACTCACAAACTGTGTAGTTTCTAACATAACACCCTCTCTCAAACTTTAAAAGAAAACAATTGTTAGAAGCATACATTTTCAACACTCTGCCAATGTTCTTTGAATACATTCCTTTGAAAACTTATTAAAACATTAAAAGCAATGTATCCAATATATGCCCATGCTGAATAATTTTACTTAGACTTTTGGCCAAACATCTAGTTCCACCTTAGTGATTAAACACACGAATGGCAGCTCAGGGCAACCTCTACAATGTGGTATGCATGACCAAAAAAATTATTTTCCTTAACATGACTACTGACAGTTTAAAATTATAGATAAAATTTACGAAAAATATTGTTCTAATGGATAGATCTACAGTCAAAATGATGGTGGCCAGTGCGCATGTCCCACTGAACGCACGGCCTCGGCGAACAGCTAACATACTCCAGGGAAGAGCTTACCCTGTTGGCCCTGGGGTGTCTGTGAGATGATGAACTGCGCTGGCTGCAGGTTCGTAGTTGGATGCACCAACACAAACTGCTGCAGGTTGAGATTCTGCTGCTGAAGCTGTTGCAGCTGTTGAAGATCCTGAAAAATCAGAATTAAAACAGGGATTGGAGAAGATGAAATAAAAGCTCACTTAATCATAAGGCTTCTGTCACATCCAAATAAGAGTACACAATTGGCATTCTTCCATATTTCTGAAGAGGATGTGCTGTGGGTGTGTTTCACTGAGTATGTGAAGACACCTGGAGCCTCTGAAAAAACGTTATATTTTTGTGGAATGACATATGTTCTGTCATGACTTATGCTAAGTCTAACTTTCAATAGTCATTTAAATTCCCTCTGAACAAATGGTTATAGTGCTGTTGTTTTAACATATAGAAATCAATATGGCTTTTAAAAATCAAATGGGAAAACTGTTTTAAAATATCTGATTGATTTTTCCTTGTTAAGTAACAGCTGAAAATGTTACGTCTGAATTTCCATCAATAAATTAAACCCCTAAGATTATTAACGAAATGTGACACCACCTTATCTAACAACTGAGAAATCAGTGGTCAAGTTTTTTAAAGAAAAATAGCTATCCATATAAAAATCCAATAGCTGATCCATAACAAAATGGCACCTTACATTGGCCCAGTGTTTTATAATTTTCAATGTTTTTCTTCAATGGCCAGTCAAACTCTTGCCACAATTTAAGTCCATTTTTGAGTCTTTTCTGGGGGGATAAAGGTAGCTGCCTGGCACTAGACTCATAATAATTCCTCATGCAGCTTACTGTTATAACTACTTACAACTTTTTCCTCTTCTTGAGATGAAGAATTTATTTTCCTCTGTAGTACTATTGTATGTGCCTCTTAAATAAATTTTTATTATCTCTGGACACTTTGCCCTAAAAATGCGAAAATCAAAACCAAACAACGTCTGAATGCAGTTCTGCATAATGCTGATCACTCCACAGCAAAGAGATGACTTGCTGTCTCTCTCCAACATGGGTGGCAGTATTCACGGCAGAGCGGCAGAGCACACGAAAGAACCCATGCCTGCTATAATTAGCTAATTAAAATAAATACAGTAATCCCCTGCTTCAAAAATATGCCACCTAATTATTCAAGAATTGTCACTTAATGTAAACAGTCAGTTATTCAAATAATCAGCTATGTGTTTACAATATCAACTCAAACAACCTACATTATTTCTAATTCAGGGGTAGGAAAGAGTACCACTTACCTCACTGATTCAGGGCTCCTCATGTCTTTAAGGGCCCATATCAATAATAACAAAGTTACCCTCCCTCCACCCAGCCTCCCCCTCCCTTTCCCCTTTCCCTATATTCTTGGGCTATAATTAGGTTATAGCTTTCATATGAAAGTTATAAATTAGTTTCATAGTAGGGCTGAGTACATTGGATACTTTTTCTTCCATTCTTGAGATACTTTGCTAAGAAGAATATGTTCTAGCTCCATCCATGTAAACATGAATGTCTTAACTGTTTCTTTCAATAACTAAGAAAATGCCATGAAGGCTATGTTAACCAGTTTGATGAAATACTTCAAATTGTATATAAAACCAGCATGTTGTACCCCATGACTGCATTAATGTACACAGCTATGATTTAATAATATAAAAAAGCCAATAAGAAAGTTAATTTAATGATAAATAATATTTCCTACTTTATTCCTCACTTGCTACCCCTAGTACTGGAATTCCGCACTCACCTGTGCAATCTGTATGGGCTGAGACAGGGGGATCTGCGTCATGGGCGTGGCGGCGGAGGCTGAGATGGTGGCCCCTGCGGCACTGTGCTGCTGGCTGGCAGAGTGTTGCTGTACTGCAGCGGCCAGCAGCTGTGCTTGGGCCTGCGCCTGCTGCAGTAACAGCTGTTGTTGAGCCGGTGTCAGAGTAAGCTAAACAAAATCAGAACACCTAATGGGAAAAAGCTAAAGAAGCAAGGCCCCTAAGTCAAGCTAACTGTGTTGAAATAGATAACTCAGGTGGTATTAGTCCCTAGCACCTGGCTTCACATGGTTAGCATGCAGCTAAAATGTTCATCAGTGATCAAATTACCACTACTAGCAGAACATTTAAATTAAAATGGTGGTCCTCACTCTGGATTTAAACAATCATTCAGGCTTGTCCAGGGCTCTAGGGTTCAGGCAAAAAAGTAATTAACTAGTTAGCAGGAAAAAAAAAACAATCAATGCTGACAGGATATGAAAAGAAATTTACACCCAACAAAACAGCAAATGATAAGTCAGACAAATGAAGGACAAGGATGGTGGATATGACCAAGGGAAGAACTGATAAGGCCCAGCTGCTTCCCATTAGCAGGAATCCCTGCCGTATTCCATCATGTCCATTACGTTCTAAGATATGACTAAAAAATATGAGCTCCATTTGTTTCTTTTCCAAGTCTCCCTACAAGCCCCTCCCTAACACAATCTTTTCTGTTATTGAAAGCATTTGAGTTCTGCAACTTTACATCCTCTTTCCAACATATTATCTCTACGAAACAGGTGGTGACAGTGCTCTCTTTATATGCAAATGAATCCCAATACTCAGTTTAATAGAGGCTCCAGCCAAAGGAACCTGGAAGCCCAAGTGCCCCTTACTATTGCAGACTATTCACCAAAAACAAGACCCAAACAGAAAAAACAGGAAATGTATTTAAACTTGCTTTTGGAAAGCAACTTATTTGAAGCACGCCTAAATCAAAGTAGTAAGACGTGCTTTCCTTTCCTTTTGGTGAATGTTCTGATCAACAGAGAAGGAAGCCTGCACTATTCTGAAGTGCATGTACAGTCACTTTGTGGCACAACCCTCCTATTAAAAGGGTCCAATGCAACTTGTGCATTAGAAACATAAGACTCAAAATCAAACCATTCAAAGACTCAATACCCTTTAAGAAATATGTACATATATACAGTGTATATACATATTTGTATTTTTATACAACATATATACATATATTAATTTCTACTGATGGGATTTTTTAACAATTTTCCAACAGTTCTTCTAAGAGCCTTCCATTGCCACACTTAACATAAATGAAGAAAATAGAAAGTTGTGCGGGTTGATGTGATTTGATGTGAACTGAAAACTCTTTCTCATCATTCCCCTAATCACTGTCCACCCCCCCACAAAGATAACTTAATGCACAAATTTTCAACATTGGGAAAATATTCTGAATGGAGCCTAAGAGCAAAGATAGCTGAGAAGTCAAAAGCTTAATATATATACATAGGCCAATTTGTAAACAATAAACATAAATAACATTTATTGCTTCTTGCCTTTTGGTTAAGATCAAGTATAAAAATGTGGTATTTATGGAATGCTGTATGCCAAGCACTATTCTATGAGCTATACAATATTTTTGATCTTTACAACAGTACTGTGAAATAGGTATTGTTGGTATTTCCACTTAATAGAAGGAAAACTAAGGTACAGGGAAATAAGTGATTAGCCCACAGGGTAAGCTGTAGAGCCAGGACATGGGACCACGTGTTTTATTTGAGAACACTACATAGTAGTAACTTAAAGGAAACGTTTTTCTTTTTCTTTTCTATGTACTAATCTGTTCTTTAACTTTGACTTCATAGTGCTGTCGTAATGCCAAATTGACAACTGCCATCTCATCAATGTAGTGGTCTCAATTATACCATAATGATTGGACTGCATGATGACGCACTCCCTGAAATATGGGCTTTAAAAAGTATTTAGTTTATCCACATTGTTTGCAATCTTCACAAAAGATATTTTGAAAAGAAAATAAAAGATATTCTGAAAACTTATGACAAAGACAATTCCTTTTTCAGAGCTGCCCACAGTATAGAAAGTTCTTTGAAGACACAATAGTGCCAGACGTAGCCATGTTACTGCCAGCAATGGTGAATGTGAATAGTTCTAATCAGATATATTGGCCAGGGGCAGTTTTGACACAGAGCAGGTGTACCAAAATGCTCTCAGTGAAAACTTACCCCGGTTATCTGTCCTCCAGCCAGCATAAGCTGGGTCTGAGGAATGGCTGCCTGCACTGAAGGCTGCTGGGAAGGCTGACTTGGTTGCTGGGAATCCCCCGATTCTTCATTACATTTAGCCTAAGGTTGGTGAGGTAGAAATAAAAGATTCAAATAGTTGATTAAAAGAATTGTTCTTATAACCCCATAAGTGAAGAATCATTTAAAACATAAGACTTTTTCAGTTCTAAATGTTCTAGTTTCCTTCTTTTCCTTTCTTACAAATCTTTGTACCTTCTTAGTTTTATTACTATACTAAGTTTTTAGACTTTTTATTCCAGTGCAGCAAAGATGCAATTATAACATATTTTTTCTTGAAATAGAATCTCACTCTGTTGCCCCAGACTAGAACGCCATGCCATCAGCCTAGCTCACAGCAACCTCAAACTCCTGGATTCAATCGATCCTCCTGCCTCAGTCTCCTGAGTAGCTGGGACTATAGGCATCTGCCACAATGCCCGGCTAATTTTTCCTATTTTTATTAGAGATGAGGTCTCACTCTTGCTCAGGCTGATCTTGAACTCCTAAATTCAAGGGATCCTCCTCCCTCGGGCTCCCAGAATGCTAGGATTACAGGCATGAGCCACTGTGCCCAGCCTGCAATTATACTTTTTAAAAAGAAAAAAAAATCAGTCTTCCACATATCAACAGAATTTTTCACAACCCCAAATCCTCAATTCTAGAAATTAGGAGTAAAGGGAAGAATACATTTTTAGTCTATCTCTATATTAGACACTCCATACCAATATTTTGACATATACCTAGTAGTCAGTTTGAAACTTCTTTATATACCATTTTAGAGATTATTATTTGACCCACAGAACTTTTCACCTAATATTTTAAAGACCAGTAAATGTAGCATCTCCCATCATGAAAAACCAAGCATAGAAAAATGCTATAGCCAAGAGAGAAAGAGAATACACTCCTGAAAGGGGAACGAAAAGAAAAATTTTATGGTAATTAAAACTGGTTATGCAGAGCATTAAAATTCTGCATAGATTTGCATATTCCCCACCACCTGTTTTGGGGACTGCAGCAAGGCTAATTAACATAAAAGCTCTGATTAATTCTGCCAGTCACTGAGAGATAATTATAGTGCAGGACTGTAAACATTCTGCACTGGAAATACAGCCTGTTTGCCAACATCTCTCTAAGGGATGAAAGTTTACCATGGCAACCAAGGCAATTTTCCACCTCCTCTCCCTCAGAAAGGAAGGTCACATTATCTCCTTTTCTTTTCTCTCCTTTTTCCTATGTGTTACGAGGTCCATATTCGATTGAGTTTCACAGGATGCTCATTCCAAGGTCTTTAGTCATTAGCAACACTGAAATCAATCTTTCAGAATACTGTTTTTTCCCTCTTGACTGTCAGTTACCTGAACACTATAACGAAAGGCAGTAGCAGGTTGACTGTAACATTTGAACTTTGCACGCTTTGCCATGTGCTTCACAGACGCAAAGTAGGCACATTGAAGTTTTGTTTTAAAATTTTAACTGCCTACCCACTGATGTCTATAAACAGGTTTAATTACAATTCTTAGAAGTATAACATTTTAGGTCAGTGAGGAACCCTAGCAATCTTATAAATGTCTCCACTTACACGCAAAGAAGAAAAACTGAGTTCTTACGAGTTTAAGTGACTTGCCAAAGGTCACACAGCAGCCTGGTGGCAGAGTAAGAATTCAAACCTAAGAGCCTGTGTCTCTCAGTGCAGTTTTCTTTCCTCTGCACTACAATGCTTCCCAAAGACATGAAAAATAATCAATAAAAACATCTTTGGAAACAAAATGGAATTTAAGTGATTAGGCTTTGTGTTTAATTAGGAATGTGTTTTAGCTGAATTAACTTAGAAACATTTTTACTGAACTTACCTACAAAACTTTGAAAGTAGACATTTCCTGTCCACCTTTGGTTCATGGCAATAATTATCATTATTTGGATCTTTATGAGATTCAGAAATTTCAAGTATCTCCTATTACAATTATTATGTGTTCATTGCAGACAACAGAAAAATAAATAGAAAACTGACCCATAATCCCATATCCCAACTTACCTGTACATTTAAAGATTGAGCAGCAGCCTGTAAACTTGTTCCAGCAAGCTGGACCTACAAATAAAGGGAAAGTTCTAGTCTAATACTGTGGACATCCATCACTATAGATTGTCATCAACAAATTAGTTCAAGAGTTTCTACTAAAGTGTAAAAAAGTTTATCTTATGGGGTTAAAATTTTATGAACAAGCTCAATCCTTCCACATTCCACCACACCCTCTGTCAGCTCTGCTGAAAAATGTCGTTAATGTTTTCAGAAGATGTTTTCCCATACTAAATAAGCATTATCAGGCATGCCACACTTTTATTGAATGTTCTTTTTATAACATTCTGTAGTCACAGGCTGCTTAGATTGCAAAAACTTAATTCACCTTTCACATTGTGTTAACATTCAAGACAAGCTACCTACATACATTATTTTTATCATTACAAAAATCAGAACTATCTATTCTAATTGTGAAATTTCCACACACACACTAGAGTGGAAATCTCACGTATAAACACACACACAGAGACAAGTCCATAAGACATTTATAGTCATAACTTAAATCTCCTAGCTAAAATAAAGAATCTATCCTATAAAACATATATGAAAGTCTGTCATAGTATTTAGCACTCATATTTCATATACTCAGAAAGTTCAAATCATGGGTATATAAAAATAAGGATAGATACTCATGGAATTAGAAAACTATCATTTGGCTGCTCTAATAGCTGATTTAGGCAAGAGTCATCACTGGATGAAGGGTGAAATTTGAGGAAAGTATCTCCACAGATACTAACCAAGGGCAAAATATTAATTACTATTAATATTTTAGAAATGTGGCCGGTAAGTAATCAAGTGACCACAGACAAGAGTGCCCAGGAATGAGGCACATGCCTTCTGCTCTGATGCACTGAGATGAATACAGCATTGCTTAGGTTGTATTCATACCAACAGTTAGAACTTGAATCAGACAATGATCAAACACCAGGCTCTGTGCCTGTGGCTCAAGTGGCTAAGGCGCCAGCCACATACACCTAAGGTGGCAGGTTTGAATCCAGCCCGGGCCAGCCAAAACAACAATAACGGCTACAGCCAAAAAATAGCAGGGCATTGTGGCGGGTGCCTGGGGTTCCAGATACTTGGGAGGCTGAGGCAGGAGACTCGCTTGAACCCAGGAGTTGGAGGTTGCTGTGAGCTGTGATGCCACAGCACTCTACCCAGGGGGATAGCTTGAGGCTCTGTATCAAAAAAAACAAAAAACACCAGACTCCAACTGAAGAGCATCACAAAATAACTGGTTTGTATTCTTCAAAAAGGTCAACGTTCTGAAAACAAAGACTCAGAAGTGAGAAAGAGAACATAAACTAGGCTAGAATAAATGGAAAACTAAACTAGAATGGTGGCAGTGAGAATAACAAACAGGAAATGTGAAAGCCATTACAAGGTACTACACATCAGGATTCTGGCAACTGATTAGATACAGATGAAGAGAGAATCATGAATTATTCTAGGATTCAGGTCTAGGAGACTAGAAAATGGAGTGTCATTAACAGAGACAAAGAAGGTAAGATGGTCCACCTTGGATACATCATAAGTTAAATATGCAGTATTTTGCCATGTATAATGTGTACTTTTTTGTCAAAATTTTTGAGGGAAAATAAGGATGTGCATTATACATGAGTAGTATGGCTCAGGAGCAGGGGAGCCCTGCAGACCTTCTGGGGCTGCCATAACTGCCCCCTCTCAGGTACTCAGGGTTCCATTCCAGGAGGATCCAGATCTGGTGGGAGCAGACCAGAGTAGCTTCCGCTGAGCACCAGATCAGGGCAGGGTATGGGGGCAGGGTATGGTTGCAGGGGTGCGGAAGCCAACCACAGCTGTGCGGGGTGAGGGCCAAGGCCAGAGGCCAATTGCAAAGAGGGGACCAGGAGCCTCACATAGGCCCCAGGAACCCATTAGGCTGCCTGCAGGCTGAGTAGCCTCAGAAGCTTCTGCCCTACTGGCCACATGAATGGCCATCTTGGCTGCATCCCCTGACGTGGTGGGGAGATAAGGACTCCAGGAGAGAGTAAGGGGCAGTCTTCACAGCTACGGGAGGGTAGTGTGATCTGCAGATTTATCAGGGAAGTGTAAGACCTCTCCAGATGTGTCTATTCCAGCCAAGAGCTGGCCACGAGGCATTTCACTGAGGTACACATTATACACAGGAGCACGTTTCACACAGCAACATACGGTAAGTGTTGGGCCGGCTGTGGTGGCTCATGCCTCAATCCTAGCACTCTGGGGAGAAGACTACATGTCATCTACACAACTTTGGAAAGGTGCCACACAATTGACTAAATTTCACCAAAAATCCTATTTTTATGAAACCAGAAACCTTGTTGGAGGACTATGTTCCTAGAAGAAAATCAGAAACATTTTTGTTTTTCTACCACGTATTCAGAATACATTCTTAAATTTGTTTTAGATAGTAATCAATGTTTTATCTAGAAATTGCATATAGAAGTTTCTCAATTTCAAAGATATAAACCAAAGCTATGTGCCTGAGCAAAAGTGTGTCAACTAGGCCTCACTTATAACAGAAGATGCTAATTACTGCCTACATGATAACCCTTTGAGTTTGTGAATAAACGGGCTTCAGAATAGCTTTCTAGAATTTTACCTGTTTTCAAGGAGAGGAGCTTCTTTTATAGTTCAGGTACTCTGATGACATATTTTGATGAAAAGAGTGAGCAGTAAGATCTATATTCAGTTCATAGCAACTTAACAGATTAATATGTAACCATTAGTTTTTATGTCCACATACGTTTTTCACTAAATCACCATCACCACTATTACTATTATGTGCCACTGTTATCACGTTTTGAGTGTTGAATTAGTCCTAGGTTTTAACTGAGGTAGAGACCATCAGGATGTGCACAGTAATGCTCTAGTACATAACTGTAAACATAATCCGAGAGGCTGAGACACTCTTGATAATCCATTTTCCAATTCTTTTCACTGAGTTTTCCGTTTTTGACCAGCTCCCATGTGCCAAAACTACTGGGTAACCGATGTTTGTTTTTATGTTCCCTTTTCCTGTCTCTACACAATAGCTAAAACATGGATGAATAAAACAGGGATGGTGTGTTCTGGACACAAAATAAATCACATGACATAAGAATTGTAAAGTTGAAGCAAATCTTTTTGAACCTCACACTAGGGAGTTCACAATCAAGCAAAAAGACTCTGTCGTTTATAAAAACTAAGATAGCCTGCAACTGTTTTAAAGGAGAGATAGGAGCTTTGAGATCAGAGTCTTTTTTTTTTTTTTTTTTTTTTACAGTTTTTGGCCAGGGCTAGGTTTGAACCTGCCACCTCTGACATATGGGTCTGGTGCTCTACTCCTTTGAGCCACAAGCACCACCTGAGATCAGAATCTTAATATTGCAGGTTTTGGACAATGACACTACATCATTTTGGATGACTCTGAAAATTAACTACCTGCAGTTAGTTAAAACAGTAAGTCAGCTGTTATACATATATGTTCCATTTATAACAAGGAATTCTTTTTTCTACACACAGGTGTGGCGGTTAATGCTATACAGTTAACTGAACCATAAGATTCCATAATCTATATCCATAATCTATATCCATAATCTAAATCCATAAGATTTAGAATGATATGACTACATGTGATTTACACTAGGCATTACATAATTTTACAAGTCTCACACTTTGAAATAACTTCCCCAGGCCCTACCATTTTATGCTTCCATCTTTAATTCTTGCTTATAGCTGAGCAGAACATTTTACCTGATGGAGATGTCCAAGGAAAGCTTGGGCTTGGGCTGTTGAGATAGCTCCTCCGACAGGCACAGGCTGCTTCTGAAAGTCTAGACCATTGGTTTGTGTGCCTAGAAAACAAGCAAAATAATTACAACTACATATCAGAAGAAATAAACTCAAAAGTTGCCAACATTCACAAGACACTTATTTTGTATAAGCACTTTTCTAGGTAGTTCCTAGGAGAAGTGTTTCTATCTAATGAAATACAGTAAAATGGCTTCTAAGGGCAGAACTACAGGATAAATACACAAACATCAACAAAGCTTAAGAAACAGGAACAAAACAATAAATAATAAATACAATCAAAAGATAGTCTGAGAGAATTCAGACTTCAGTGCAGTGCAGACTAAGTGGGGCAACTGTGGTAGGAATAGTCATGAAACCTAAGATGGTGCTGCAAACAATCAGTACCACTGCTGTAAAGAATGGTAGAGACAGAGATCTGCACAAACGCCTCAGCTCTCTTTTAAATTCTCACCCTATTTGATATTTAGCTTGAACAATAGAAATTCACTGGTGACTTTAACAAGAGCAAGGAGGATTTATTATAATTAAACACCTTAATGAATAATAGTCTGATGGCAAAAGCAACCTTTTACATGATAAGCTAAAGGCAAACAAAACAGTTGCACTAATTTCTTTAATTCCAAAGCATATACTGCTGCATATATCTCATTAGCAAGGGCTCTGCTACCAGTATATTTTTCAGTGCTTTTTTATTTTATTTATTTATTTATTTCAGTGCTGTTTATTTTCCAGTGCTTTTTTACCACTTCTGCTGTGATTTGATGTTGGAACACAATTTATTGAAAGATATGCCACCCAAACACCCAGAAATATTTTTTTGTTTGTTTTTTAAGACAGAGTCTCAAGCTGTCACCCTGGGTAGAATGCCGTGGCGTCACAGCTCACAGCAACCTCTGACTCTTGGGCTTAAGCGATTCTCTTGCCTCAGCCTCCCAAGTAGCTGGGACTACAGGTGCCCGCCATAACACCAGTTTTTGTTGTTGTTGTTGTTACAGTTGTCATTATTGTTTTAGCAGGCCTGACCTGGGTTCAAACCCAATAGCCCTAGTGTATATGGTTGGTGCCCTATCCACTGAGCTATAGGCGTTGCCCCAGAAATATTTTCTAAGGGATAAAATATACTGCTTCTGAATTACAACATCCAGTTATTATTCAGAAAAGGCCAAAATACTTTCTGCTGAATAAAATATAACAGACCACAAGAACATGGAAGAATCATCTAGGTTATAGTCCTACGCTTCTATTTCCTACCATTTGAATGCCCCATCTTTCTATCCTTACACCTGGGTATGCATACACACCCACAGCAGACTAGTTAGGAGAGCACAAGTTAGAATCTTGAAGCAGTATTTCTAAAAGAGTGCTAACTCCTATCATTATATAATCCAATTTCTGGCAAATGTATCACGTAAGTGAGAATAATTTAGTATGTCATATGACCTAGAAGGGCTACTTATTTCCTTGAGACAATTATAAAAAACATGTATTTCACTTCCTTAAAAACTCTGAGATTGTTTCTTATCTTCTTTCCTAAAGTCTTCCACAAACAGGAAAATATAGAACTACCTAGACAAATACAATAAATAAAATTAAAAGAATACATGCCCGTGTCAAATATTTGAAACTGGTATGAAAGTAAAATTTAAAGAAATTAAATTTAAAATCACTTCCATAAACTACACACAGAAGTTTCACTATTTTAACACTGTGCATTTTGCCATTAGTTGCGGGAAATCATTACCCACGTTTTTGTATTATAAATATTTTTGAATTTTTTTTATCCATTATGATGTTTTGACATCTTACAAAGCCTTTTAGGCTGGAAAGAGACTGCCCCTTCCATAAACAGAGCTGCACATAGGTACTTGCAACATCAATGAGGTAAAGATGAAATATGAAAGATGAGTGAGGAAAGGATGGAGTTCTCAACAAATGAGTAATGAGTATTCATTTGGAAAAAAAGAAAATTAGAATCGAATTACCATACCAAAAAAAGTTTAAAAAGAAAACAGAAAATTTCAGAAGGACTAAAGGCCTTAGTGTTAAAGGCAAAACTAACATTTTTAGAAGGTAACATATGAAGAGTATCATAATCTTGAGAAATAGAAGGATTTCTTTATCAAGACTCAAAAATGAAAAGGTACAAATTTAACTACTTTAAAATTAAAAGTTTCACTCAAAGGGTTACATAAAGTGAATGAAAAAAGAAAATGTTTACAGTCTATACACAGTCTATACAAATAACAAAAGATTAGTATTCAGAATACAGACAGAACTCCTATGAATCAATAAGAAAAAGTCAACCCAATAGGAAAAAAATGGGCAAAATGAATGAATAGGAATTTTACCAAGGAGAAAACACAGATGTTCTATAAATACAAGTTTCCTTGGAAACTAGGAAAACACAAATTAAAATCTCAATGAGATACCATTTTACACCCAATAAATCGGTTAACATAAAGTTGGTTAACATCAAGTTTTGGCAAGACTGAAATTCTCATCTGTTGTTGGTAGCAGTACAAATAAATGCTTTGGAAAATTGGCTGGCATATAAAGACATCAGAAAAAATTTACCAAGTACACTTTAAGAAAATACTCTGGCACCTTTTTCACATATTTGCATTAAGAGATAAGTATAAAATGTAATCACAAGCAGCATTGTTTAATATTAGACATAACTAGACATAACCCAAATGTTCCATCAATAATAGAATGGACATGAAAATTATGATATAGTCATATAACGGGATATGATGGCCAGTGAAAAGGAATTACAAATATGTGTATACGTACTGATACAGATGCATCTCAGAAACAAAAGTTGAGCAAAAGACATAATAGGGTGTGACTCTGTATCATGGAAACAGGTAAATCTAAGCAATATATTATTTGAGGACAAATACACAGATAGAAAAAACTTTGGAAAGAAAAGCAGTGTGACCATTAATACTAAATTCAGAATGGTAGTTACCCTTTGTGGTAGAAGAATGGAATACCATCAGGGTGCCACTATGCTTCATGTTCCCACCCCTCTAGCTCCACAGGAACAATCTGTACCTCCTGTTTACTACAAAGACATATTTGGTACCTCTCCTTTTGTGAGGGAGGAGAGGGAGAAATAAAATTAACCTAAACCACACACAAGCAGGTGAATATGCACCTGGAATGTACTACACTAAGTAAAAGGCTCAGAGGCTACATCTATATAATTTTACTGACACGACATTTTGGAAAAGGCAAAACTTAAAAAGAACCCATCAACTTCCTTGTATTACAAATAAGAAAAATAAAAATACAAAGGTCACTACTAAAGTTCTGAGACAGACAGTGTTATGGTCCATTATTTTACTTCTTAAAAAATAGCTGACAGCAGCGTCCTTTCTGATTCACCTGCACAAATTTTAACTTGCTGGGCTTATCGGTGCTGCTGGGAGAGCGTCATCTGTTTATGCCCACAGAGCACTCAGTCGGTGTCAGCTATGGAGCTGGGAAGACAGCACTCTCCACAATTATTTTCCATGATTTTCAAAGTTGGTTAAATAAGCCTTGAGGATTGGCAATGAATCTTGGGAGACCATACTTCTTCCCATGTGACAATTTTTTGGTAGTTTCAAGAATTTAGAAGAGCCTAAACCTCACTAAAAATGAGGAGAAGAGTAGGCGTCCAGTGACCACAGTGACTGAGGAAAACATCGCATTTCTAAAAAAATGGTTCACACAAACAATTGAGGGACATTAAGGACAATGAAGCGGCTACAGATTGGCTTGCCATCAGTGTCTAAACAACTACATGATCATTTTTGAGTTAGGTAACTTTCACCTGATATGTGCCTCACACTTTGACAGATGAGCAAAAAGCACATCTGTACTGCATGGTGTGAAGAAATGCCAGTCAGATGTAATGGAGGCAAGTCTAGATGCGTTTCTGACACCATTACTGGTGATGAAACCTGGACTTATCAATTTGATCCGGAAAATAAGCATCAGTCCACAGTACGCATTTTTTCTAATAAAAATCCACCAACAAAAGTGAAGTGGCCCCAAATGGTTGGAAAATAATGGTGGCAACTTTCTTCTCCAAGAGAGCAGTTATGTTGTAACTGTTCTTCTGGAGGAACAAAGAACTGGTACTGTTCAGAGGTACAGGACAGTATGCCCACCAAAAGTGTTCTAAAAGCTTCAGGAATGGCGGCCAAGGACAGGCCAAGGGGGCCATCTTGTACCACAATGTGTCCACCTACACAGCCAAAATCACCATCAGTTCCTGGAGTCCACAGAGATTAAACTTATGACTCATCCACCCCATAGTCCTGACCTGGCCCCACTAGATCATTTCCTATTCCCTACAGTGAAAAACTGCATGTGTACAAGAAGGTTCTCCACCTCTGAAGCAGCTGTCTCAGCCTGAGAAAGTGAGTTTACAGCACTTGAAAGTGAGTGGAGAGAGTGTTTCAGAAATGGTTTACAAGAATGCAAAAGTGCATAGAATGTCATGGCAATTATTTTAAGAAAATAATCAAAATTATTTCATGTTTCTTAATTTTTGTGTATCTCAACACTTTCAAAGTGCCCCTTGTATACAGAAATACTTCTCCTGAAATAACTGAGCTCAGAGCCTTCCATCCATTTCCCAACCCAACTGCTCTTTCCACTATACCATCCTACGACCAAGGAGTCCAAATCAATGCTTCTTCACAAAGAATATTAACTAAGTGACTGGCCAGTAATTGAAGCTGTGGTCAGGCTCCTAAGGAGACATCAGATGATAAGGCATCACAATTTGAGGCCTTTGGTTTCTACCTCACAGTGTGTTGCCCCAGCTATAGTTTTACAGCAAACAAAAATTAAAAAAAAAAAAAAAAAGGAATTTAAATCAAATTTTATAGCCTATCAAAAATATTACTACATGTAAATAAGGACAATTTTGGCAAAAACTACATCTCCAAATAGGAAACACACCAAAATGTTACTGGTGTATACATTACTCTATATTTTAAAAATTCTCTACCATAAGTATTATAATCCGTGATCACAGCTTGAA